GAGCAAAATAGGTTAACATAACTCCTCTGATTGGATTTATATTTGTCCGTGTTCAGAGTATATCATGCAGTGTGTACATATGTGTGTTTGAGAGCTGCACATCAGAGCGGAGCTCATTAATGTTCACGACACAAACCATATATGGTCAATCATGGACCTTCTGATTCAAGAAGTATTTTGTGAATTATTAAATTGAATTAGCTTATAAATTTCATTGAAAATATCATTTCTGGATATTTTCTGAACTTACTGAAGCCATAAACCTACTATGTATATATCAGAGAACAATATAACTTATTAAACAAATGCAGTATATAGCACCTTTAAAGTCAAATAAAACCAGCAAAAAATGATCAAAATGACTCACTCAGTAAATATACATTTATATTTAGGCTGTTTTCCAGTAAATATCTGTGAGCTGTTAATAAAGTTATCACAAAGTCACTGAGCTTAATTATTGTTGTTGTTATTAATATTATAATTTTATTTATTTATTTATTATTTAATAAACTAGTTCATTTAGTTTGGAGATTGGCTCTTCATTTCAACTCATTATCTTGACATATAAGTCAATGTATGTTATATTATACACTTACAACCCTGACTTATATTAAAAGTATATATATATATATATATATATATATATATATATATATATATATATATATATATATATTTATTTTTTTTTATTTATTTTTTTTTTTCAGTTAGCGTTTTAGTCCTTTTGTTACATTCTTATGTTGTTTCTTTTTATAATAATGTAGAATTTTGTCTGTTTTTAGGAACCTTAATTTCAACTACTTTTTAGAATATATCAAGACTTCAGATGCAAAAACCTCAGTGCAATCTGTAAATTGCTTTTACAATGGGAATTTTTCTCAGCCTCCTATGTTTATGTTCAGTTATTTTATGTTAAAAGAGATTTTAAATAAAACTATTCTTTGCAATAAAAATTAAATGACTGAATAAAGACTGAGAAAAATGTTGAAAATTTCAGATGGCACTTAAGGGATTTTGCAACTAAACTCTTTATATTGTTTACATTTGTCCAAATAAATAAACATTGCCAACAACACCACTGCTTCAAAAAGTGGGAAAATATGTTCAGAAACTCATAAGGGGATCAATAGCCATAACTTGAAAGAGTTTGACTGAAAAACAAAAATTAGTTTTTTTTAGAACGCCATTGATGTGGTCAAAATATGTTAACAGTCCACAGTCAGAGGAATGCTGGAGGGGTTGCAGGAATGTAAGTAATCACACACATATATTTTAGGAATGTCTGAAGAGATTTTGGCAAGGGGTTAAAATTGAGATCATGAAAATTATGCAGTTAGACCTTTTACTCGCTTGTTTTTCTTGCTTGAAGGGATACCCAAGGATGTATACAACAAAACTAAGTGCAAGTTTTCAAGTTACTAAGTGAAAGACAGACTATAACAATAAATTGGATGGAGCCACAACCTTCAATAATGGCACAGCTATTAGAAAACTTGAATCCATATTTAGAATAGAACATATGACTGCCAAACTTCAATTGGAATTGGCTATTTTTTAACAAAGACGGGGGCCTGTTACTAAGTCTCTGAACAGGACATAGTATTAGTGTCCTTTGAAATTGAAAATGAAGTATTTTCTTGTTATTCTTTTTGTTTTTATTTAATGCTAGTGTTTTTTTTAATAACTGCTTCTATCACTAAATGTTTTGTTCCGTAAAATATTTTAATGTATACAAATAAAGTGAGCATTTATTAAAATATAGAACACATATTTTTAATACATGTTTTATTCATGGCAACTATTAAAAAACTTGTCGTGACCAGGTTTAGAAAAGCTTAATGGTGAGTAAATGATGCAGAAAGTTCAATTCTGGGTGAACTGTCCGTTTAACAAGTTATTTGGAGCAAATGAGAGGAAGGCTGAAGACAGGAGGAGCAAAGATAAGAATAGAGCCCAGAAGACACACAATTACATCGGTGTGTGAAGCTGACAGTCACATGGTTTATCATCCTCATCCTTCAGCGCTTTTCTCTTCCTCTCCTCTTATCTCTCTCCCATGTGCTCTGTTCTTCAGACATTGGCTTTGCTGTAGACATACTCTTCCAACAAACCGATTAATCATAACCCAAAGCTGACATCTCAAACCTGCTTATGCTATATTAATGCATAAAAGCATCCACAGGCATTCACAAAGACACTTTAGATTCCCGCATAGCAGTAATGCTAGACCAATGTATCCTCCGCATCTTAAAGGGACTGATTTACTTACACAACATAAAGGACTGCTTCATTATTTACTCAGGGGATATTCATTATGCACAAAAAGGCTAAACTACATTTTTTCAGTACACTGTCGCCAAACGACCCAAATAGGTATAATTTGCATAAAGATGAATATTTAATAATGTGCTGAACACTTTCCCCTCAACAACAAAATGATCAGACAAAAAAAAAAAAAAAAACGACAAAACTGAAGCATCTGATCATGGTGATATATTTGCAAAAGCTCTGCAATTAAGCACTCCAGTCAAAGTTTACTTAGTACTTTATAAAACAGATAGCTTTAAAACAAGCAACTTTACAGTATTTAACATTAAGGGTGTTTTCACACTAGCACTTTTAGTTCACACCCGGGTTTGTGTGAGGTCAGACTTTGGTATATTTAACTAGTGTAAATGATGTCTTCTGAACTCGTGTGAACCATATCCAAGTCCGCTCGAAAGAAGTAGTCTGGGGTATGGTACGTGCAAACTGGTCCAGTTCACTTCTGATATGAATGCAATCGTACCAAATAACGGAAGTGAAGTGTCAGAACAAACTTGAGTTTTCATAACGATCAATTGTGTGTTGGTCTGTGTATCACATACTGTTCCTTGGTGAAAAGCGGGACTGACCCAGTGCAAACACTGACAATGTCTGTTTGTCTCCTTCAAAAACGACTTCTGCAGTCATCGCATTGTTTTCTGAACATTTTGAACATCTTTCTGTTTTAAATATTCTTGTGGCAGATAGATGCAAGTTGCTCTCTGTATGGGAGATTCAGTAAAAGCAGAACAACAGAGGTGTGCGTACATCTTTCCATTTTGGCACTTTGGCTTTCGTAGTCATCATCTAGCAACAACTGTACACACAACAGCAGCTTGATGATGCAAGCGTACCAGGGTACATAAGGAAAAAAAGACAATGTGAGCACAAACCAGCCAAGAAGGTGGCAAGGAGGGGACAATCAAACCTGGGTTCGGACCAGGCAATCGACCCTGGTGTGAAAGCAGCCTCAAAAAAGTAGGGGCATGCTGGTTTCCAAAACAGATTTGCAGAAGACTTGAGATATTTCCGAATGTCAATAAACAATAAAAGGACAGCTTTTACTTAGCTGAAGTTATATGACTAAAACATATTTTTTCCTGTCATGACAAGCTATTAAATATCATGAGGATGAATGCCATATATACTGTAAGGTCACCCTTTAAATGTACAAAAGAAACAAAGGTGTGTCATCCAATTAGTAATAGCAAGGAAACCCACACGAATAATTTTAGTGAAGATATATGAGGTTTTTGAAAGGTTAAAGTAAGCAAGTTCAAAGAGGAACAGTGGTTTCACAATTTCCAGATGAACTTTGAGTTGTGCAATACAATATGGCCTCTAGTAGTGCCTGCTGAATCATGAACAAAGATCAATCATGCAATTCATAAATATTTTAGCTCATCTCATCTAATCTCTGTTGAAGATGTCAGTGAACTCCTTTAGAATTAATGCTAACTAACAGGTGAATAAAGCGTACATTTTTTTTTTTAATTGGTGAGATTTGGAAGAAATGATTTAATACTTAATGTACAATTGAGCTCAGTTTCGAAGCTGCATTAAAAAAATACAGGCATTCAGAAGAAATAGCATTAAAAACAAATAACACAACAAAACATTATTGTGCTAAAACTGAATGAAACTAAGGTGACTCAGTGGCACAGTAGGTAGTGCTGTCGCCTCACAGCAAGAAGGTCGCTGGTTTGATCCTCGGCTCAGTTGGCGTTTCTGTGTGGAGATTGCATGTTCTCCCTGCGTTCGCGTGGGTTTCCTCCAGGTACTCCGGTTTCCCCCACCGACATGTGGTACAGGTGAATTGGGTAGGCTAAATTGTCCGTAGTGTGTGTGTGTGTGTGTGTGTGTGTGTGTGTGTGTGTGTGTGTGTGTGTGTGTGTGTGTGTGTGTGTGTGTGAATGTGTGTGGATGTTTCCCAGAGATGGGTTGCAGCTGGAAGGGCATCCGCTGCATAAAAATGTGCTGGATAAGTTGGTGGTTCATTCCGCTGTGGCGACCCCGGGACTAAACCCGACGAGAAAATGAATGAATGAATGAATGAATGAATGAATGAATGAATGAATGAATAAAGGAAACTAAATGCCCCTTTCTAACCAATGCACAGTAGTTCCACACAATGAAACCCATTTAAAAAAAAAACTAAATAGGATTCACATGTCCTGGCTAGTGCAAATGTTTCCTTTCCATTAAATATGTCACAGGAACAAAAATTCCCAATGTGCTGAACTCTGAGACCACCTACATTAGGCTTGAAAAAGACTCCACCGACATCCCCGTCATCATGATCATTTCGCTGCAGCCACCCAAAAAGGAATGATCAGACACACATACAAAAAAAAACCTAACACCCACACTGTTGTCTCTTCACACTAATTTACTGAGAGCATCCAGCCTCCTGTGGATAATAAGGTCACTTTGAAGAGGAACTGCTGTGTTGAGTAATGCTGATAAAGTGAGGAAGAGAAAGTCAGAAGGAACGCTTCCTCTCTGAGCGAACAGGAAATGAAATAGTGCACGACTGTTCATTCCTCAGAGAACACGGACTAAATTCAGACACACTCATGAGTGAATCACAGTAACACCTGCTGGATTCAGCATCTTATTCACAAATCGGGAGGAGGTCGAAGAAATGAGAAAGATACGCAATATCTTTGTGGTTTTAAAAAAGAAATGAAAAGTACCTTTCTTGATAATCGTGTATTCCTCTGACACCTTCGTGATATACATGTCAGGAGCTGCGCAGAAGTCACTGAAGCCCTAAAATGTGAAAGAAATGCAAACAATGAACATTAGAGGAGTACATTTGACTTTCCCCCCCCTGAAATTTAAAACATGTCATGACATCAGCATGTCTGTGCAGATCATTTATTGACTAAATTTGTCATAAGTAACAGGAATCATGTTGTAACACTGAAGACTGATATTATGATGTTGAAAAATCAGCTTTACATCATAGGAATAACTCACATTTTATATACATCACAACAAAACAACTATTTTAAAGGGATAATGAATGTTCCATTTACTGTTCTATAAGTAGTTCCAAACCTTTATAGTGTCTTTCTTTTTCTAGAATATATATATATATATATATATATATATATATAAAACCTGTAACCATTGACATTCATTCATTTATTCATTCATTCTCTTGTTGGCTTAGTCCCTTTATTAATCCAGGGTCGCCACAACGGAATGAACAGCCAACTCATCCAGCAAGTTTTTACGCAACGGATGCCCTTCCAGCCGCAACCCATCTCTGGGAAACCTCCACACACACATTCACAAACACTCTCATACAGACAATTTAGCCTACCCAATTCACCTGTACCGCATGTCTTTGGGCTGTGGGGGAAACCGGAGCACCCGGAGGAAACCCACGTGAACGCAGGGAGAACATGCAAAGTTCACACAGAAATGCCAACTGAGCTGAGGCTCGAACCAGCGACCTTCTTGCTGTGAGGCGTGAGCACTACCTACTGAGCCACTGCTTCGCCCCACCATTGACATTCATAGGAAAAACTAATACTATGAAAGTCAGTGGTTACAGGTTTCCAACTATAATCGTCTTGTGTTTAAGGAAGAAACTAAACAGTTTTAAACAAGTACACAATGACTAAATAGCAGCAGAATTTTCATTTCTGGGTGAACTATCCTTTTAAACATTTTTGTGATGACAGTTTTATAATATTACTGTTATAAGTGTATGCTTTGATCAAATAAATTTCCCTCTGTATAAGCATACCAAACATTTGAACTGTAGTGTGTATTACTGTAGTAGTTATTTTCAGCGACAGAGATTTAATTAGCATTCCGACAGCTGGCTGGGCTTTAGCAGTTTGACAAGTGTTGTGTCTTTAAGATGACAAGTCAAGTCAAAAATAGTCCAGCACATAAAAGCGCTTCATCTTCAGATCCCTGAAATCAGTTTTCTTTCTTTGGGAAAGAGTATCTAACTTTCCCATTGGAAAAGCATAAAACAAATCAAGGTTTGGTTATTCTGAAACAATCCACTTAAATGGTCGACTAGAAGTAAATAACTCACAGGATAGTTTATATACGAGTTTACTACTATATACTTGATTTTACTAAACGGTAGGTTGATACATTCCTAATGTGTAAATAACGTCTGCTGTAAGATGTGACTAGATTTTAAGTGAACGTAGAAATAGACAGCTCCATGAAAATGCTAACTAAGTTAGTTAAAAATGCACTGACAAACAAGTTAAACACTGCCATGAATAATCAATTCAAGCATTGAACGTTATTCATTCATTTTCTTTTCGCCTTAGTCCTTTTATTAATCTGGGGTCGCCACAATGAAATGAACCGCCAACTTATCCAGCACATGTTTTTACGCAGTGGATGCCCTTCCAGCTGCTACCCATCTCTGGGAAACACCCATACACACTCACTCACACTTGTACACTGTGGACAATTCAGCCTACCCAAATTCACCTGTACCGCATGTCTTTTACTGTGGGGGAAACCGGAGCACCCGGAGGAAACCCACGCAGACACGGGGAGAAAGTGCAAACTCCACACAGAAACGCCAACTGACCCAGCCGAGGCTCGAACCAGCGACCTTCTTGCTGTGAGACAACAGCACTACCTACTGTGCCACTGCGTCACCCCAAAGCATTAAAAGTTATATTTTGACCTTTACTTCCTTCATGTATCCTGTGTACCTCTTTTGATCAGTTTTAACTGCAGTTTTTGTTTATGTATTCATTTATGTTTAATTGTTGTGTGGCCTTTGTTGTATGTTTTTTTTTTCTATAGCCGCTTTTCCACTATCGTGCTGAATCGTTCTTTAAACAGAACTGTTCCATTCCGTGCCAAACCGGGCCAGACAGTACGGATGCGGTTTCATTTTCCACTGTCGTGCTGCGACAAAGCTCTTTAAAACATTACACAAAACGCATCAGTAGTTGCCTTGGTAACGCATGTAAACGGCTCCCTATTATATTATATAAGCACTATTATATTTAGCAAAATGCTGCTCTATTATCTTTTTATTTTGATCATTTTATTTTTTATTATTATTATTTTTTTGTTCATAATTAACTAACAAGCTGTAGGCGAATTATTGCTAGAAAATATTTGCGTAGCTATATTAAAGATCACTAAGAACAAAAAAAAAAAAAAACACAGAAACATGTTACATGCCTCTTGAATGTCATATAATTTATGTATAACTGAATCATATAATTGCCTTTAGCTGAAATGATGAAAATTGCTATTTTTTTTATAAAACATTTGTCAAAACGTATTGATATTGTATGAGTAAAAGCAATACTGACATTTAAGAATCCATATTTATTTAATTCATTCATTCTTTTGACTTGTTTATTAGTGCATATGCTATAATATAAATCATACAACAGTACCTTGGACAGTTACAGTGCCGCTCCGTAAAGCTGTCAAGCAAAGTCATTTGGACGGCCAACATTACAACACGACGTCCTTCAGGTGGTCTCGCCGGTATTAACAAGCTGTCCTGGCTTTGAATTAAAAAGTGCAATTATTTCCTCGTTGTTAAAAGAGTCTGCAAGTTCGTGTCCCATGGATATAGTGATGTTGTTGTGGAATTTGGACATCTACGATGCTAAGCGTGACTTTATTCGATGCGCAGCTGGAAAAGAAAGTCAGCAGCGCAAGTCGCTGGCATGTCTCTCCCGGATCAGAGCGAGTTTTGTGCTGTGAAATACAGCGCTGCGTGCAATAAACTCACATTCAGGCAGGCGAAGTAGGTCTGTATTCAAGTCAATAAAATAATAACTTTAATGAATAAAATAATGTGATGAGTTATTCACTTCTCTGCCAGAGAATGCTCTATGGTTTTAAAACCCTTTTCAAACTTTATCGTTTAGACCTGGATCATTATTTTATATTAAATCTACTGTAGTTTATTGAGGATGTCTGATAACTAGCGCGCTTCTGCTGAGCCAGCTGTGGTAGCTTAGCAACCGAGTCGCGACGTCAACACACAGAATCTGTCAGCACAGTTCAGCACGGTTGTCTAACCGTGCCGAGAATTCCGGGCCGAGAACGGTTTGTAATCGTGCCGCGCCGTTCCAGGCTCAGTGGAGAAACAACCGTAACCGTACCGAAGTGTTCTTAGAACGGTTTGGCACGATAGTGGAAAAGCAGCTTATGTGATTTATTCACATAAATTGCCCTCAATGGGACAAAGCATAATAAACTGAATTTACCATTGGTTGACTGATGAATAAGTAACTGAACCATGATTTTTATTTATTATTTCTTGCATGACTGGGAGATATACATACTGTATGAGTTTTATTATATTATTATTGTAAATATGTATTAAATTAATAATACATTATAATGACACCATTTGCTGTTGTTAAACTACAGCACATGCATTTATACTTGATGTATTCAGGCTAGTGACTTTCATAAAATTAATATAGAAACAGGGCTTGACATTACCTTTTTAGATCACCAGCCACTGTGGCGAGGAATTTTCCAACACTACACACAATTTTGTTGTTGGGAAAATATATTTTACATGCATAAATTTGACATGCTGAAATGACTTGATTTAGGTTTTGTGTTATGCTCACATGCCTCCTCATTCATTTGACTTTTTCTGTGTGAACTTGCTTAATGTGCATGAGCAAATGGGTAATGGTTTCATAGTGTTGCATTGCAATTAGTTTTTATTTCACATGACTTTTCAGGGCTCGACACAAAGGATTCATCACATTTATCTCTGACCCCACCAAAAATAAATTAACTATTATTTCTTAGCCACAATTTTTTAAATAATATGTCAACACAAGCAAAATATAGCTGTATACAAGCTCTTTTTGTTCAATAAAACCTTTCTTAAAAAAAAAAAAAAAAAAAAAAAAAACATTTAAAAAAGAATTATTGCCATCTAAAACTGTACAGTAGTCTGTCCTGGCTAAACGTCTCACGGATTACCAATTAACTACACATAAATGGGGAGTTAATCTCCTATTAAAGCAATGTTATTGTAAAAATTATAATTAACCATATATTAAAAAATTAATTAAGCAAAAAAAAAAGCAGGTGGAAAACATACCGTGTGGTATAATAAACAGGATGATTACACGCACACAGTTAAAATTAGGCGCATAACCAGTTCATGGTTAAAGCAAAAGTGGCGACTGCTGCTGCTTACAAAAAGAGCTCACGAGCATCACTTTATGTCCAATCCATTTCAAAGAGAACCAATCGCAGCAGTTGCAGTTGCTTCAAGCCAGGAAATGGAAACACGCACAATTTTCCAAACAATCGATCGCATCGAATCACATCACCAGTGCATGCAAATAATCCTTCTCTTATTCGGTATTCACCTGCTTTCTTTTGTTTGCGCAAACGCTATTTTTGTCAGTCGTGCTGCAACTCAATTCAAAGATGACATTTGCACGCATATTGGGCCATCTCTATTGTAGAACTCTGCTTTAAAAAAAAAAAACTTCATTTTAAAATTGATCTTCAACCAGCCAAAGTGGCTAGTGGGAGTCTAACCAGCCACTGCTGAAATCTACCCGCATTAGCTGGGTTGGTGGGTGTTAATGTCAAACCCTGTTTAGAAACCAGTTACATTTCAACATTGTAATGAGGTCAAATGTGTGTGGTTTTACCTATATGAGTATGATGATCTAAACTTTAAGCAAATTAAAATCTGAAAATTTAAAGGGATATTTTTCTCTCTCTCTTTTTTATTTATTTTATAGGCGCTTCTTCTGTTGAACACAAAACAAGACAGTCTGTAGAATGTTGGAAAAAAAAGCCATTGACATCCATTCTAGGAACAAAAAATATTTTAAGTTAATGGCTGCTTTGCTTCCCCAAAAGTCTTCAGAATAACTTCTGTTGTGTTCAAAAGAAGAAAGAAACTTAAACAGGCTTGGAAGAAGTTGGGGGTTAAATTATGTCAAAATCATAATTTTTAGGCATTTTATACATTTATATACAATTTTAACATATGTTATTATTTTTCAATTCTTATCTATACATTGAGACCTCAGAGCTATGGAACAAAAGCATGTTTTAGGATTTGACACAATTGATATTACTGCTAATGGCAGAAAAAATCTATTAGTGGAATCCGTAGTTAATTCCCCATGCAGCTATAATTCATGCATGTGCAGGAGACATCATGAATGGAGAAACTGCTACAATATTGTCCTGCGTTAGAGGCACTCACCGAGGAGACCGTCAATTCCAGACCCAGTGAACTCCAGCTGATCACCAGCGCCAAAACACCCAGAATACACACCCTAACAGAACAAAGAAAATCATCGTCATCATCTCATCATCATCATCATAGACAGCTTACATATAATATGAGGTTAGAAACCCCTAATAGAGGGTTTTCTGTGGGGGAAACCAATTATACCACTACAATTTTCATAACGTTCATCTATTATATGAGTGTAATGGTGGTACAATTATGGAGGTGACAGTGGGATTCACAACCATTAAGAAATAAGAACACATTTCTAGTTATGCATGCAGCATGCTGTTACATCTGTTCAGCTTCACAACTGAGTGCGAAAAAACTAATTCATTATAATATTAAAACACATTTATTTTAAATGCAACCTAAATTAATTATAAATGTAAAATTAAAATATATAACTATGTTTGGAAAACAGTTTGCAAACCAATATAACATTTATTTATATTTCAATTTAATTATAATTTCAATAAAATAAAGTGTACGAGAGATAGAAACTAAATAAATCTATTCTAGACAAATACACTACCTGACAAAAGTCTTGTCGCATGTCCAAGTTAAGAACAACACCTATTTTCTTGATTTCTAGTTGATCATTTGGTATCAGAAGTAGCTTATATAAAAGGCAAAGGCCTTTAGATTACGCTTATTTTATCAAAAGAAAATATGATCATGCCTAGATTTTTCATTATTTAATTAGGACAGTAAAGTCTGACTTTCATCTTCAATGCTTCCTCCTTCATCTAACCCTAGACATGCTTAATAATGTTTATATCTGGTGACTGTGCTGGCCAAAAATTGAGCACCTTGACCTTCTATGCTTTTAGGAACTTTGATGTGGAGGCTGAAGTATGAGAAGGAGCGCTATCCTGTGGTTTGTGATGTAATGGGCAGCACAAATGTCTCAAGCTGTTGATGTTGCCATTCGCTCTGCAGATCTCTCGCACACCCCCATGCTGAATGTAACCCCAAACCATGATTTTCCCTTCACCAAACTTGACTGATTTCTGTAAGAATCTTAGGTCCATGTGGGTTCTAATAGGTCTTCTGCAGCATTTGTGATGATTGGGATGCAGTTCAACAGATGATTCATTTGAGATATTTACCGTCTGCCATTTTTCTAAATGATCAACTAGCAGTCAAGTTTCTATTTGTTGATCTTACAACTGGGATCGACGACAAGACTTTTGTCAGGTGTGTGTTAAAATCCCTTTTTAATTGAAAAGCATTTATCTCAAAATTTTTTACTTGTAAACGATATAAAAAACTCATCTATAAATAAAAGACATTTAATATTTTAGTGTCAATTTGTGTTGGAAAAACATAAAACAGATTATTTTTTTTTACAAATTTAAGTGGATTGAACTTAAAACGATTAATTCTCACACAAAAAACTCAAGAATAGAGTTATTTCAGCTCATTTTAAATAAGTAGTTTAAACAAACAGCAAACATAATTTTTGTGTGTGTATGTATAAGTATAAACACATCTGTATCTTTAAATAAAAGCCCTATCAAACAGTATGACAGTATCATTGCATCATAAAATGCTTTTCAAGTCTGCAGTAAGCAGCAACCTAAAGATTTCATGCTTTTAGCAAGTACTACAGAGTGAATCAATACCCTGACATTTATCTTCTGACATGCACTCGAGTCAAACCACCTTTTTCTCTATGCAATATAGATGCAAAATGTTAACTGTCTTGACTTATAGCGAACAAGACGAGCTGGAGGATATCAGTGAGACAGCTACAGGAATAGAGATGGCAGGCTTTAATGTGAGCTCTAGCCAGGGGGAAATGATGCACTGTTCTCTCCTATAAGAAACATCAGGTTAACGACTGCCTAAGAAACACAATGGCTCCATCTGTAAACAATATGTTCTATATCAGGGCTAGAGGAACGGGTTGTGTGCGATCTGCTAAACACAAGAACACAATCTGTCCTGACACCATGCCCCAAGACAGAAACAAACCTGACAGACAGTCTAGAGAAAGACTCACACATACATTAAAAACAGCTCCCTTTTAAAAACCTAGATTGTCGTCTATCTATCTAGACACTTTCACATCCTGTTTTCGTTCAAAGATAATTAGAGAACTTTGTAAACTTTGTATGTGTCTTTCAATGAGGCGTTTATTTAAAAACAAAATGCTACTTTACCCTCTTCGAGTATGCTATACATCAATTGTGTTCCAGATTTAAAATCAATTCTATTAATTTCCTCTTCTAGAGTAGTACATTTTGAACAAGAAACCTAAATATTTAAAGACTGACATAGGCTGAAACCGAAATTGCCTACTACTTAGTAGGTACTGCATTTGAATTTGAATTTACTACTAAAACATTAGAAACGTATGTTCTTTGCAGTATGAATGTCAGTAGTATGAATGGAACTCGGACGAACTACATCCGCCATTTTGTCATCATCACACGATTCCAATTCATGAATTCTTTCGTGATGCATATTCATGCCTCTAATGTCTTAGGGCCCTATCATACACCTGGCGCAATGCAGTGCAAGACGCAACGCAATTGTTGTTTGCTAGTTTCAGCTCGACGCAAGAGTCGTTTTGACGTTTTATACCACGCTGTTTAAATGTAATGTAATGTAATGTAATGTGTATTTATATAGCGCATTTATTGTGTATGGCCATACACCCAAAGCGCTTCACAATCATGAGGGGGGTCTCTCCACATCACCACCAGTAGCAAATGCATTTGTGCTCATATGTGCGCCCATAGGCACTCTGGTCTAAAAAAGGAGGCGTGTTAAGGTACGTTGTTATTTTGAGGAACTATAATAGGCTGCACAACCCTAACCCTAATTATGTATAGGCTAATGGATATTAATGCCTTTGCGCTCTGCGCTTTGGCCTTAGCGGATGGATCATCAAAATAGAGTCCTTAAACTTCAATCTTGCTACCCTGCTTAAACATAAGTGTTTTTTTTATTTTGACAGCCATAAAGTAAACTGTCAGTTTGAATGATCACTGGATGATTTGTTTGTTCGGATTTGAAGAGTAGATTTTTTTTGAAGCCCCGTTCAAATGAATCTTCGATTCCCTTTGAGTTAATTCGCTACAATGAGTTGAGCATTGCCTGTGTAGTCTGTGGATTCATCCAGAGCCAATGAAATGAATTTGGCTTGTTTTATAGCAGAACTTAGTTGTTCAAGCAAATCATCAGCAAGTATTTCAGTTGGTCTTGCAGCAGGGGAATGAGAACAGGGTATTTGTGTTATTTTCTGGATTATTTCATCCTTTTGAGTCCCTTCAAACGGAGCAGTCACCACTTAACACATACACTCCTTCCCTATTTCAGCATCAGAGAAGGGTTTCTTATGTTTTCCCAGGACCCATGCTACTCTTAGTGAGGCTTCTGTTGGCCTGTTGTGTGGCTGATCTAACTATTACACTACTCGTAGCTTCATATGATGATTTTAGCTGGTTTATTTTTGTGGTCCTTACCTCTGTGTTCTGAGGGTAATTTTGTTCAAAATGTGTGTGCTTGGATTCATAATGGCATTTTACGTTCGCACTTTTGATGACTGCTACCATCTCGTTACAGATAAAACACATTAGTTTTCGGCTTTCCGCGGGAAGCACAAAAGCATATTTATTGGTCCACTCAGTCTTAATCTCGTGGTTTTCAAAATCAACTTTTCAAGTTTTGAGCACGCCATTTTCACGTTCAGTCTGCAAAAAAGTAAGTTAGCCATATTCACACTGTTCGGAAATGATGACAACTCCTGTTTGCTTGCAACGGTAGATAAAACGAACAGCCTGAAGTGCGCAAGATAGCGAGAACGTGAGCGAGTGAGTGACGTAGTTGTCATGTTGCTATAGCGATGCTGGCTGTTACAACTGCTGTGATTGGACATAGTTGAAGCAGCCAAATGAAGTTGAATCCTCAAAGATATATCGCGGAATCACAATTGCGCACTCAATTAAAAACTCATTTGGATTAGGATTAAATTAGCATGCCGGTTTTGGCCTCAGTCCAGATTATTCATGTCTGGGTCTGGGTGCGGACTGGCCTAGGCTATATGCACAGCTAGAGTTTCTTTCCATACCCAATAAACTTCCAGTGAATGGTTAATATGACTTCTTTCAATTTTATCCGGTTCCTTTTACAGCATCTATGTTGTAAAATCATTAAAACATAACCAGTTAAATAGACTTCAGCACTCATTTAGGTGTTCAAGCGTAAAATAAGATGAAGATAAAATAAGATGATGCCTGTCAGGATCAGAAGGCTAGCGTAGGAACTCCATTGAAAATACTGGGTTGAAATAAATGTTCACATTTTAAAGATATGGCATGGCGTGTTATTTAATGTACAGTATGTGAATGTACAAATGTATGTAAAGGTACAAATGGAATCAAACATATAATATGTCAAAGATGCCAAAAGAATAAAATATGTTTCATAGAAAAGCAAGAGTAGTATAGGCAAATGCTAAGGGCGCTGTACATCCAGGGGGGCGCCAGAAATGAGCGCTGTTAAGTTGGTTTTGTTTTCGATATTCCTGACACATTCAGTTATAGCGGCAATAACTCAAAAACCTCTTACCCTAAAAAAATCTAACGTGTGTTTTCGACAAAAAGACAAAGCTGGCTAGGTTTCAGAGCTGTCTTTTTCTTTTTTTTTTCTTCCTCTTTTTTTTTTTTTTCTTCGCTCGACATTACGATCACTGCTCCCTTTAAGCCCTCGCAATATGCGTTTAGCCAAGAGAGCTCGCGCTGAGCAGAGCTCTCAGTAAGGGACAGTAAGACAAGAGCGTCTTTTTGTTTTTGTTTTGTTTTTTGCTCCGTTCAGCGCGAGCTCTCCGGGCTAAACGCATATTGCGAGGGCTTAAGTTTGTGTGTGTGTGTGTGTGTGTTTGTTTGGTGCTGTCTATGTTTGTGTATGTGTGTGAATGAGAGACAGTGTGGTACTGTGTCTGTGTGTTTATACAGACAGCTTGTTATAGTCTCCCTCCAAAATATAACACTGTGTATGGAAAGCATCGTCAATGCACCGTGATGCACAGAGATATCAAATTGAACCGATCTGATGGCATAATAATCGTAGCCGAACCGTGAGACCAGTATAGGTTCACACCTTTAGTTGAAATGTATTTTTTGTTAATCATATTTTAAGTATGATATTTTTGTTCGAAAATAAATGTAAAAATCAAAATTCAAATCAAATGCAGTGCTTCTTGTACAATCTGAGACCTACCTTAAATCAAATTTCAATCAGACAGTGAAGATTGTTGATTTTAAAGAAAACAGACCTTAAACACGACATTTTTGTAACTGTGTACAGTTTACTGGAAGCGTTTGACCCAGAATACTGAATTAAAAGTCTGCATACTTCTGCATGCACCCTATAGATGAGCAAGGATATAATTTAAAACTACTCTAACTGTGTTTGTTTGACAGATAAAAGGTATATATATATATTGAGAATAGCTCAGGAGTGAGTATATGATGGGGTAATTATATTAATTATGTTATACTTTTGGGTGAAAACTATTAGTTTAAACACAATTACTTGCACATCAAATAAGGTTGTGTGGCAGAATGTTGCCGTCTAAATTGAGTGTTTCAAATTAGTCACGCATTCCAGTTAGGATGATGTCTATGCAGGGAGTAAACAGTGAAATAGCTCACTGTAATGTAAAACAGAGTTAACTTGTCTGATTTTCATGCTACTTTATTCAGACACAGGGGAGAGCTCGTCACAAAGCACGTTCTTCTGTTTTTCTGCTGCGTCTTTGAATTAACTTCCAAGCAGGGATGGAAAAGCAGAGAAAAAAGACACAATATGGTTTCTCTGCTGGAGCTAAAACAGAAAAGCATAACTAACACTTCAGAGCAATCTGGAATAACCACGTTTAGAGTCTGAAATCATTCACCAGGGCCTCATGGAGCGGTGTCGACATCTCATGGGCATGTCATTTGAGAGGCAGGAACAGGGCTGGACCAAATGCTGTTGCTCATACAGTATGCTGGTTTTAACAGGCACTAAAGCTTCATTCTGTTCGTTGTAAAACCCATGATGTAAAGACAAAGTTATATGAGCTGTCTTACCCAATCAGAGTGCCTTTAGAGTTGCGGATGAGGCCGAAAAGCACCAGTAGGCAAATAAGCACATCAAACAGCAGCAGACCCAAATATCCCAGCCATCTAAAAGACAAACATACATTTACATTAATACAGTACAACTGCTGTAAAACTCATACAGCAAATGCAACTAGCAGTGCATAAGAATGCAATGCAAACACAAACACAATAAAATGTTAGCTGAAATTGTGTGCGTGAGAGACAGAAATAAAGATGGAGTGACAGACCACACAAAAATGCATGCAGAGTTCTAAATTGTTGTAAATGAATTATAAAATGTTGATTATTAAATATACTATTTATTATTGTTTTTTATTATCACTATTACTGTGTCATTTGTTTTCATATGTTCTGTTTAATGTAAACATCACAAATGTTTTGACAATATATACAGTTGAAGTCAGAATTATTAGCCCCCCTTATTATATAAATAAATATATAATAAAAAATAAATATTTCCCAAATGATGTTTAACAGAGCATGGAAATTTTCAAATAATGCCTGATAATATTTTTTCTTCTGGAAAAAGTCTTATTTGTTTTATTTTAGCTAAAATAAAAGCACTTTTTAATTAAAAAAAAAACATTTTAAGGTCAGTATTATTAGTCCCTTCTAATTCTTTTTTTCGACTGTCTACAGAACAAACCATCTTTATACAATGACTTGCCTAATTACCCTAGGCTTCCTAGTTAACCTGATTAGCCTAGTTAAGCCTTTAAATGTCACTTTAAGCTGTATAGAAGTGTCTTGAAAAATATCTAGTCAAATATTATTTACTGTCATCATGGTAAAGATGAAATAAATCAGTTATTAGAAATTAAAACTATTATGTTTAGAAATGTGTTGAAGAAATATTCTCTCTGTTAAACAGATAATAATAAAAAAAAACATTAAAACATTAATAGGGGCTAATAATTGTCACTAACTAGACGTGACATTTGAGAGAGAGAAAGATTATTCTGATTATTTTGTTTTTATTTATTTATTATTATTATAATTATTTTATTTATTTATTAATTATTTTTAAATGATTTTGTTATTACATTATTTACCTACTACTACTACTACTACTATTTACTAAGGTTTTTTGACAATACCAGGCAAAAACTTGTGAGTCAGTTTTTAATGTTTAAAAAAAATTGCGACAATTATTAAAATGTAAAAAATTGTTAAATTATTCAATATTTTTATAACATTATAAATAACTGCTTTATTATTGTATGTAGTTTCAAATTAAATTATACATCCAGTCATTACTGCTTTTATTACCATTACCATTAACAATAACAACAATTTTTATTTCAATTATATATATATATATATATATATATATATATATATATATATATATATATATATATATATATAATTTTTTTTTTTTTTTTTTTTAGAGTGATTTTTAAAGCATCATGACTCATGACTGGAGTAATGAAGCTAAAAATCTTTAAATTCACTGGAATAAAAAATAGAGAGAGAAAGAAAGAGAACTACACGGAAATACTACTGTAAAATGTCTTAACCATTTTATTTTATCGGATATTTTTACTTTTTTTTTCTTTCATAATATTTTTCTTTTTTGCCCTTTTCTTTTCTGTATATACAGTTAAAATCAGAATTATTAAACCCACCTTGAATTGTTTCTATTTTTTTTTATATTTCCCAAATTATGTTTAACAGAGCAAGGAAATTTTCACAGAATTTCTGATAATATATATGTTTTTATATATATATATATATATATATATATATATATATATATATATATATATATATATATATATATATATATATATATATATATATATATATATATATATATTTTTTTTTTCCAAGAGAAAGTCTTATTTGTTTTTTTTCTTTTTTAAAAACCATTTTAACGTCAAAATTATTAGCCTCTTTAAGATATATATTTTCGATAGTCTACAGAACAAAAGTTGTTGACATTTCAGTTGGCTTCTTTTGTAGCTCAGCAACAATATAAAGAAACAATAAGTTACAATAAATTTGAAAAGTCATATCTGTCAAAGGCATTCGCCCTAACCACCTCCCCATTATTCTCCCTCTCTTTTCAGATTGGACTGTGGGCCAAATCAAAGGTTAAAATCGGCCAACTGAGCCTTACTTTGGGCATCTATTATATAGAGGATGAAGAATTCATTTGCATAATGAAATAACTCAACTTTTTTACATTTTAATAAATTATGTTTCATTATTGTTGAAAAGTTTATCAAAATCACAATTTATGAAAATAAAATGCACACATAATCTTTAAAGGAACATAACTGTCAGCTGTTGACCGACAGGTGACACAAAATTGCATATTACAATGATTTCTAATGGATTGTGTAACCAAAGCGGAGTTTAGTGATTTATGAAGCTTAGCCATTAAAGGAGCTGTTGCTGGGTAAACATTGCAACTTTTGTATAAGCAGACACAACTTTCATTTATAGAATCAAAACCAAAAGTGTTTAGTTTATTGCGTTATCTTGTTTTGGATATCTATAATGAAATAAGTTCTCTTTTTTAAGGACTACCGAGACCCCAGGGCAGTTTCTTTCACAAGGAAATGGAAATAACTGAAGAGAAGCTGTGGGTGAACAGAATACTAATTTCTACTCTCTCTAAGAGTGCACTGGGCTCAACTTGTGATACAGAGAAAGCCTTTGAGCACTGTTTTTTTTCCTTCTCCAGAGTTTTATTTTTATTTCCTTTGGATAGTTGGGATCAATTACACCAACACTTTATCATGTGCTTCAAAAACATTTCTAGGACTGTCATGGTACCAAATTTTCAGTTACCAATGCCAAGGAATTTGCAAATATTTCATTCATTCATTCATACACTCATTCATTTTCCTTCGACTTGGCCATTTATTTTTTCAGGGGTCACCATGGCAGAATGAACCATATACTATTCCAGCCGCAACCCAGTACTGGGAAACACCCATACACTCTCAAATTCACACACACTCATACACTACGGCCAATTTAGCTTACCCAATTCACCTATACCGCATATCGTTGGACTGTGGTGGAAACCACAAGACCTGAAGGAAACCAACGCTAACACAGGGAGAACATGCAAACTCCACACAGTAATGCCAACTGGCTCAAATTATTTTTTGTTACCTATAAAAAAGGCTGTGTCTATTATAAAAAATGTTTATAGATCAGATCCTCTCATTTAAGCCCTTGGTTTACCTGCGCGGCTGTTGATCAAGTTTAGTTCAGTCACAGCAGGCTGTCAAGTACTGTTTGTGTTTGGTTTACTGAATCACGCATGTGCAGAATTATCGGTTAACCGCTTCTTAAATGTGATCTCAGTGTAACATATCTGTTCTAATAACTGAATAACAGTATATATTGGTTTATTTCGAGTCAGACGGGGGTATTAGGACTGTTAAAAAGTTAGTAGTTAGTGATTAAGAGTGCTTACTGAAGACGCGAATCATTTCAAATGATTCAGTTCGATTTGGTGAACTAGTTCAACCGGTTCACTTAGAAGATCCAGTTAAAAAGATATGTTCGCGATCGCACTCACTAATACAGAAATAAAAGCCATTATTGGGCACAAATGTGTTAAAATAATAACTTTCAGTCTCTGTAATTAATGCTGTTGCCATGCTACTGTCATGTCCACTCGTTGTTTTTGTCACGGGAGCAACAGCGAGGATAACTGACTCGATCTGGCCAATGGCAGCTGGATGACAGACTATGAGGTGCCGTATGGGTCAAACACCTGGCACTGCGAAGTAAACAGATTTACTTCTAAAAGGCTTACAGTAAGATTATGCATTAAATATATTTACAAAGATGAAACGAAGGTCGTTTTTGCTTTAATTGTAGTTAGTTTCAGTTAGTTTTGCACAGCATGCACACAAAACAGTTTCAGTTAGTTATAGTTTTTTGTAAGAACTCGCTTTTATTTCTATTTCAGCTAATGAAAATTAATTCAAACTTTCATTTTTTTCGTTTGTTTTCGTTAACTATAATTATCTTGGCACCTACTGGTCCATATATATATCAGCTGATAACGTTCATTCAATCGATTGATAACATTTGAAGCAGGTGTTTCACCAATACCTCGCTTCTCGTGACGTACCTGTACCAGTCATACAGCTCAATCTGGGTTGCCAGATCCTCCAGGGAGACGCCGAGGTTGCTCCAAAAGGGGATGTCGGCCATCTGACGAACCAGCTCGCTCCGCTGATCCTGCAGTTTCTGTATGATGGACAAATAGTCTGTGTGTTTTGCATACTGCTCCTTTAGTATCCGCAGGTTTTCATCCACAGTTTGGCTCTGAGCTGAAGTACTTTCTGACACCTACAGAAAACACATTTGATTTGTAAGCGCGTTTCTCGAGCGGCAGATCACACAGTGCTGCATTGGTATATAAGCATGTGTCAGTGAGATTGTAAACCTAAGTGTTTTGGAGGGATGTGAATAAAACTATATCAGTGCCTCACCAGTCTGTGAACTCCTGACACGGTGCGGTTGGCATGCCGGAGAGAGTAGGTAAGCCGACTGACGCCGTCACAGGTCTCGCCATTCCCATAGAAACCAACAGCAATGCCAGCACTGAAAGAGACAAAGAGAGAGTGCTGTGAGGAGGAGCAGGACTGGGGCATGAAGGCCTTCAGAAGAACTCAGAGAACACTGAGGAATAGCTCAGTAATGTCTTAAACCATGAAGGCAGAAGGCAGATGACACACACACAAGACTGTTACTTATATGCATTCAGGATAATGTTTTACAGTAAGTCACTTCCCACTCTGTTTTACTACCATTGACCTGAACAACAAAATAAAAAAATAAAAAAAGAAATGACCAACTTTGGTTCCTGCGAATTTGTATTGTACTTCATCTTGTCACAAGATGTTAAGTGAAGTTTTCATTACATCAACTTTTGTGTCCTTCAGGTTTGTCATGCAGTTAAACAAGTATAAAAAAGCACAGTGCTTCCCACAGGTTTGAAATATCCTACTTGTGGTGGTAGATAGATTGAAACACCTTTTATCCACAGCACACAAGTATTTACCTATATTTAAACATTAATTTTATTATTATCTGTTTTAAACTTGTTTTCTTTTCAATGGGTTAAAGTAAAAAAAAAAGACTGTTGAAATAAATTTTTAAAATGTACTATTTCTCTTTTACACTATTCAGGAGCCCACTGACAGGTCAAATCTGATTCTCTTTATCTCTCATTCAAGGTCAGACTGCATTATTGGCATGACATTTAGTACAATATTGCCAAAGCATTTTAGATGTATAAAATATGTAATAAATTGACATTATCAAATGAATAACATATACAGCAAATGATAAATAAATGACAGGAAAGGGAATAAAAACAGACATCTCTGAAAATAATCATAATTACAAGAATAAATTGTGTAGATTATTTAAATAAGACAAATGAGCTGATTTTCCATTTCCAATGGTGTACAAATATTCTGCAGCCAATTTAGATGTAATTCAGTCCTCTCTGGGTATTTAGCAAACTTTTTCTGATTAGTTTAGATTAAAAAATTAATTATTTGATGTCTCTCTCGCTCTTGTGTCTTTGCGCATAAAATTAACGACAGCTTAGGAAACCAAAGCAAAACCAAATTCCGAACATTTTGGTACATTTTACTCCCGCCGTAAACAAAATGTTGTTGGTCTCTCTGGGTCTGTGGGGTGTCTGTGGGAGGGTTGACAGTTCTTGCGCGCACAGAATGAGATTTTCCACTTCTTTATCGACCATGGATGTTTGTTTATAATGGGTGGATACAAAAAAAGTGTAAAAGAATGATAATGATAGGAAAAAAAAGTGTCACTAAATATACTTGGCTAGCCATTAATATACCTGTAAAGTCTATGTGGGAAGCACTGAAGTGCATTCCTTTAAAATCTATTTTATGGTCACATAAAAAAATAAATAAATTAAGCTTCAGTTTGACAATCGTTTTTGGGTTATTGTTATCGGGATTAAAAATTATGACAAAAAAGTGACATTAAATTGACACATTTTAAAAAATACTGCTTTTTCCTTTATCTGTATCTTTAACTTTATCAAATTATCATAAAAAATTGGATGATTCTGTATGCATTTTGTTATTTTGTGTGATACTGCATGTTATATTAAGAGGAAACCAGTAAAAACTTCTAATTAAACTTCTAATTAAAATTAAAATGCTACATTTTGTATAGACTTAAAATGGTGGACTTGAACACACTTCAAATTTTGTCTTGGTTGTTAATTAGCAGTAAAGTGATGATATAAGAATTCAACTATTCATAATTCTGAAGTTGAATTATTATGTTTGAGATATGCATGTCATTTGCCATTGATAACCTTATTAGAACATTTTTTTTCACAGGTAAAATGAGACATTTGTCATTTTCATCATTCCCTCCTGCATTATATAGGCTAGAGTAGTTATACTGACACTGTTAAACATTTATTTCATGCACAACAATGTTCGCTATGAATGCTCTGAATGTCCTCTTGGTAATAAACAAACAGTGCATCAGTGAACTATACCTTATAAATACAGTAAGTGACATTTTTAACACCATTTGGAGGTGTCCATGTTGCTGAGCAATGTATATAAAACAATGTGAAGGCTTATGCGACCACCTTTACGCTTCTCTCCTGACCTTGAAAATATAATTTGCTAAATCACAGAAAAGCTAAATTAAGATCATGTATAGAGTAGAATCAAGATTGCAATCTTTTTACGAATAATCATGCAGTCCTAATTTGAGCGATACAGCATATGGGCATTAATGCATATACTTAATATGGCTCATACCTTTAAAAGTTGCTTGTTTAAAAGTCTCAAAGCCTAATCTGTAAAGATGACTGGGATGTGTTGACTTCTGCAAGTGTAATATGACCTCTAAAACTTAAAGCACACAGCTGCTCACAGCCAATCACCTGAACTGTTAACAGTTAACAAGAAGCTTTTTTTTGTCCACAAAGATTCTTTAGTCCATTTAGTCCAAGTGTTTTTGCACATGTGAGAGCCCCAAACAGAAACACAGTGGTCAGACAATCAATAGCACTCAGTGAAACTCAACACACAGTTGGGCTACTACAACAGCCCTGGGAAAACAGATATGAAAACCAATCGATTGTGCTAACAGCTTTGACCCACCAGAAGAAAAAAACAAAAAAAGAAAAGAAAAAAATAGTATTCGGGTCATAAACATACGCTGCCCAACAAACCCACTGAGGTTTTTCTTAAAAATTACCTTCTTTTAGAGAACAACCAAAACATCCCACTTAAAGGTTTAGCTGACCAAAAAAAATATTAGCTAAAAACAAAATAATAATAAATAAATAAATAAAATACGATTTACTAAGTGGTTCCAAACCTGCTTTTGCTTCTTCCTTCTGTTGAATGCTAAAGATATTTTGAAGAATGTTGAAAAAACTCCCTCACATATTTTTCACCAATGTCAACCCGTTCCCAACATTCGTCCAAATCTGTTTTGCGCTCAATAGAAGAATGAAAATCAAATATTTACACCCGCTTGAAGAGAAGTAAAAGCGAGAACATTTTCATTTTTAGATAAACTCTCTTAACTTGTTGCCTCACCACCAGATGGCGTAACAGTGCAAGCAGCCAATTGGGGTTCTGAATCCCACTCATTCCCATTCCCCACCCTCTCTCACTCAAGTATATCACCCAACTCCATTATAAAGCACACAATCAGCGGCCACCCTGCTTAGTGGGGTTCTGCGGCCAAACAAAGACCTATTCACCGCATGACAGGCCTTGCAGCTTTCAGCTAGAGTACGTTTAAGACACATTCCATGCGCTCGCCAGTCTTATTGCTTTCTGATCAAAGTCTAAGTATTTAGATTCACAAATTACATGGATGTGAAGAAGCCATTGTCGCTGTGGCTTAACGTAGGAAGGAAGTCGCTTGAGTTGAATCCAATGACAGTCGCTTAGCCTAGCTGTATGTTTTATAAACAAGCAGCTATTTTGTGTGAGATTTATTGGGTTTATGCTGCGGTGTTTGTTCGGGACGTGTTGCGGCTTGAATGTGCAGATCAGGAAGCAGATGTCACCTCGCTGTCCCCCCTGAGGCTGTGGTCATGTGACCCATTATAGAGGTTTCAGTGGAGTTCCCAGCATTCCTACAACACAGCAAATCTGGATAATCTGCGAGAGCAACGTTAACTAAATACACAAATACACAGTGTAATCCCTCATAGCAGACTCTGGATGACTAGACGGTGTTATGTGGGACATTTCCCATATTGTTTGTAGTAAACAATTCTAATGCTACTTGCGAGTTTACAGTAAAACAACACAAAACAGTGACTTCACTGAGAAATTATGTGGATGCTGAGGTTCGTTTTTTCCCCCAAGAAGGTTGAAATAAGTTAGTAGTTTGGCCACAATGTGTTGTTGGCATTAAGTGATTTTCCTTTTTAAACAGTAAACGAATAATAAAAACATATACTCATGAAAAAAAAGTCAATGGAGTTCTTCTTTCATTCATTCATTTATTCATTCATTCTTTCTTTCATTTTCTTGTCGGCTTAATCCCTTTATTAATTTGGGGTCGCCACAGCAGAATGAACCGCCAACTTATTTAGCACGTTTTTACGCAGTGGATGCCCTTCCAGCCGCAACCCATCTCTGGGAAACCTTCTTTCTTTCTTTTCTTTTTTTTTTTTTCTTATTTACTTTACCTAGCTGGTTAGGGTGTTCATTCGTCTGTCATTCACTTTTGAAAGGTGTTTTATATTTCATTAATATATTTATATTTAGTATTTATATTATAGAAAGTATATACAGGAATCAGAGAGTGAAAGTCAATACATTTTAAGACCTTTTTTAAGACTCTTTCCATACATTTTAAGACCTTATAACCACTTTAGGTATCAACCGGAAACACTGGCGAGATTTTAACTTACAGTATATTTCCTAATTATTAATTTAAGAAACTAATCCTAAACTAAAACATTATTCATATACGGAATAAAAATCTATTAAATGTAGATAATTTAGCAGGTTGGTGCCTAAAGAACAGCAGAAATAATGGTGATGCCTTGATTTCAGCAGTAAACAAAGCAGCAAGATGTCAAATATAGCAGGATTTTACTGATTGGATAAACTGCAGCATCCTGATATTCGCAGATTTAATTCAGGCATGCTCTAGCAAACAACCATCCTTGCATAATCAAAAATGATATAAAACTGAATACCCCCTTGCAAAATAGCATTAAAGACTTTTTAATACTTTAAAGGGCCCTTAATTTCTCTAAAATGATTGATCAACTTTTAATACTTTTTAAGACCTCGCGGATACTATGATTATATTTGTACATTCCAAATCAAAGTTCTAAATAAAGTGAGAAAAAAAGAAAATCACACATAAAATAATTTGGATTTTTGAGTTTATACGCTAAAATGTAGATTTTTTTAAATAAAAAATTCATTTCCATGTCATCAAAATAAACCTAATTGATTGAAAATACAACATTTTTGTCATTTTGTCCAGCCCTAAGTGTGACTACATTTATTTGCACATTTATTGCCCATCAAAAAAAAATAATATCTCTGCATATT